AATCCGTGAAAGCCCAAGCCGGTTTCCAGCTGTCAGCAAGCTTCCCCAGGAGCTTTGGTAGCAGGTGCCGGCAACATTCCCCTCCGTTCCTTAGCTCCAAAACCCTTCTGCGTTGGGCGTGTTCTTCTTGAACCACGTTCGTCACATCCCTTCCTGTACAGGTAGAAATCGTAGGAATACCGATGACATGGGTCATTACTTAGGTCAACGGCCTGGCTGCGATCCGGTATCCACGTCGTTGTCTTAGGACTGCCGGGCATGTTTGATCCGAGCCCAATGGGTCATTCCTACCAATAGGAGTCGATCTAATTCAAAGAATGTAAGCTATTGTCCCGACTTGGTTGTTGATGCCCACGGATCGGAGCTGCCCCGGCGCTAGTCCCTGGCGCTCACTAGCTTGGGATCAGCGAACAAACAGCTAGTGCTAAAGCTTGACGAGACCATCATTTCATCTGAGATGATGGCTGTCAACGTCTCCTCGGAGGTCATTTGACCGGAAAACGGCAAAATGCGCATCTTGAAGCGGGAGCTTGGAGAGGGGTTGGATTGCCTATGTGCTTCTAACTGATAGGCCTTTCATCATAAAAGGGCTCTCATCGCAGGTACCAAGTAAAGAGAGGCTCATTCAAAGTCCTTCTCTCTTCCGTATCAAAGTCAAACAAAATCACAATACCCCAAAATGCATCACAAGATCATTTCAGTTGCCCTGGCTGTGGCCAGCAGTGTCGCCGCTCAGCGTCCAGCTGATACTCCAATTTGCGACTACTATACCACAGCCCTTCTGAAGAATAACACGGCCGAAAACCAGTACACTCTGTTGACTCTTCTGGTCAACACAGTGGTGATTGGAAACTGTGAGCTTAATCACCTGAGTCCACCTTTGCAGATGACTTACTCGTCTCAATAGATACGATGCCAAACGTCGGCGTCAAAGTTCCTGGCATTCTTGCGGCGGGCACTTACAACGGCGCTGAAGTCAATCTTCTGCCATACTTCAACGGCGATCTGGCCTCGTCCAACCGCGGTGGCAGCTCTGGCGTTTCCGTCAACTTCCTTGATGGAGGTGGCGCTGCGCCACTGATGAAGAACATGCCGGCGAACGACGACAAGTCTAATCAATAGTAGGTAGCCGTGCGACACCTTTGACAACCATTATGAGGCTAACAAACGATCTCTCCCAGCTTCCTCTTGACCCATCTCTACCAATTCTTCGGTGCCCTGCTTGGCTGCTCCCAGTACGGCATGACCGGCTTCCCTGGCTATGACGGACATGCATCCATGTACCAGGTCCACAAGTTCATGGACCTAGACATGAACGAGCTTGGATACTTTATTCAGCAGGTGGCTATGGCGGCTGCCTCTTTCGGTGTTGCTCAAGACGACCTTCAGGCAGTCGGAAAGGCGCTTTCCCAGCTCTTTGGTATGCGCTGCAGCCCGCCAGCCACTGCCATTCCTGCACAGGGACCCCAGCTCCAGGCGATCTGCATCGAGAACAGCTGCCCCATCTCGCCCAACTCGACTTGCGCGAGCTATGAAGCTGCTGTCGCGCCGAAGAATGCAACTGGAGGAGGTATGATGAACGCTACAGCTACCATGTCCGGCTCAGCCACGTCGATGGCAACGGCTACAGGTACCATGATGCCGAGCACTGTTCCCACAGCAGGTGCTGCTATCAAGGGCATGAGCTTGGCAGGTATTGTTGGTGTACTTGCCCTGCTTTTGTAAGATGATGAGAAAGAGACTTTCTCGTGGATTCTGGATGATCTTCCATGAGCTACCTTTGATGCCGGTGTCATCAATGGTGGTGGCCAGGTAGCTTGGCGCTTTAGCTCTTATCCCTTTGTACACATGTAGTTAATTTGGAGGCCTTAGTGGTTGTGTCAGAGCAACCGAGCTTTGATTTCCGTAGCTATGTAAATAAAAGTCCCTTGACTTCTGTCGTGGAAGCTAGGTATTGGCTAATCTCCTTGTGAAGTTGTTCGATCCTTGGGCATGAGCCCGCACGTAGTGTGACTCGCCATCCAGATCCTTGAGCTGCTTTTGACAAGAATCCAGGGACATCAAACGCAAGTGTGCAACGAGATCAGTGATTGTTGTCAGCCTTGGAGGGCAGCTCCTTGCCCTTGCCCTCGGTGTCATTGACAGGCGTGTCGGGTTTGTCAGGGGTGTTTGTAGTGGGACTGCCGCGAAGATGGTCAGCAATTGGATCATATGCCATTAAAAGGAAAATAAAACTCAACCTGGTCATGCTCTTGAGGGTTTCGACGACAGTCATGTTGTTATTGATCATGACCTGGTTTTGGTGGATCATGATCATATTCTGCTGGATCAAATGATCGTTCTGCACTCTGAGCACAGTGAGCTTTTCGAGAATCAAGTTCCGCATCTCAGGTGAGGCCGTCTGAGAGCTGCATCCCTCTGTGGAACGAAGGATTAGCGTGAAAAGTCAAGTCTGCTGCCGATTAGGGAAATACTGACTGTGGGTGTCCTTGGTGTCTGCGCTTCCACTCATCATGCGTAGGGCACTTGACGCCAAGTTGTTGAATTTCTGCCAGGTTGCTGAATTTCACTTGTGTGCACGAAGCAGCTGTGAGAGGAGGTGAAAGAAAGACCAAATCAGCTGTTTGTGAAGATGTTGTGGTTGAAAGGACCGAAGCGCGCAGCGAAGCTGGACTTGAAAATTGGGCTGGGGAAACTTTAGGGCTGACTTTGTTATTCATTTTTGGGGAGCCAAGTGAAAATATTTTCTTTCGTCTTCTTTTCTGGAAGGAGTGCTATTCTGGGTTCTGGAAGGGGAAGGTGCACCTTCCTGATGAAGAGAGTTCAAGGTACGTAGGCTTCCAGCAACGAACATTGTTCTTGCCGAAGAACAAGATGCTGAAGATCAAAAAGAAGATCGTGATGTCACTATCAACGTCCCGGAGGAGACAGACTTCGCCGATGCTGCTGTCAATTCCATCGAAGCTGCTGCCGATATTCCCTACGCAACAGCAGCCAAGATCGCCATGAATCTCATCATGTCGCATGAACTCGGCCAGTATCGGCCTCAGGGGATGGAAACATGCGCCCTATGCGAGGAGAACGACAGTGTTGACGATGGCAAGAAGAGACACACCTACACCGTTGGACACCTCCGCGAGCATGTCGCCAGTGACTTTCACACTCCCTACAAGCAGTGGATTAGACGCGCTCACCAGGATCGAGACGCGAGAATGGCAGCTGACCTCGACGACCGCGACGTCACATGCCCTTACTGTTTGGAGGCCGCGGGCGATTCTGAGACTTTCAAGGCCATGAAGAAGTTGACTCTGCACATCTGGCACTCAAACAGCACGAACATCGCGTGCAAGAATGATTGGACCACTCTGGAGAACATTGCCAAGCATGACAAGCTCAAGGCCGAGGCCGGCTGGTACGACGAGAAATGGCAGGTGAACACATCCGCGAATGCGAAGAGGTCAGTGGTTCCGCATCCCGCCCCATCTTCGTTTGAAATTGCTAACCGTTTTGTGATCAGGGGCACCACGCAGCGAGCCAAGACTCAACTTGCTGCTCGCAAAACAGAGGCGCAGAAATCCGACAGTCGCGAGCGCAAGTTCGAGCAGCCCGTGCCTGTGCCAGGACAGCCGGGAATCGTCTGGTCACAGTCTGGCCAAGTTGTTGGCGAGGACCTCGAGAACCCGGGTCCCGGTATCATTTTTGGCGCTGCGCCTGGTTCGTCCGGCTACAAGCCATCAAGCCCATTCCTGGCGTGATCACCAACGCAACTCCTCCAGGCTCCCCAGGATGGAAGCCAACGGTTACAAAGCCTCCACGCGGAGCGTATTGAGTCGCTCGTCCAGGCACTTTCCGCAACATGCCGGGGGGTGGTCACCTCATCTCTGATCGTCTCAAGGACCGCCAAGTGAGCAGGAAGATCTGCAAGGGGTTCGACTTTGATGGAAAGGACGTGAGGGAATCATGGATGTGATGGGCGTTACCTGGAACGAACTTTTGAAAGAGGACCGACAAACGAGTGGCTTCATGTTGTTTTATTGTAGGCAGATGATCGGAATAGACTTGAAAACACAATGCACCCTAAACAAGACTCATCAGCATCTAAAAGTGATTGATAGCTGTGGCTTCAATTTGGAAGGCGCCTGGGTGCCTGGATTCTGAAGAGGCATTTTGCTTTGAGATCGATATCCTACGTTATTGGATAAGACTCCTGGATCACCAGTCATTCAACGCTGCGTTAGCCACCGGAGACAACATAGCTAATAGTTCGTGTCCCAGTTTGTTTCCTACCGACGTCGTACTTGCAGGAGCGGGCGCGTTGTTCATTGTTGTGCTGGCAATCTCCCTTGATCACATTTCCGCGCCAAACTGAAGCTACGACCGGAAAAGTTGCAGCTGGCACGATTCTGACAGCTGTGTTGCCCACTGGAGCTGAGTGGTAGTACCTGAGGTACGCCGCCGTCCCCACACGCACGCTCCATGATTCACATTATCCTCATGTTCTTCGATGAGGACCTTTGAAGCGATATGACGTTCGGGAGATTCTTGAGAGGGCATTACGGGCTCAGGGGTGCTTTTTCGATGCAGGAAACCGATAGATATACTAAAGAGTTTGTGGGCGAGGTTCTGTCCTTTCTGCTGATAAACTTGAATCTCGGTTCAAGTCGCGCTCATACCGAGTGTACCGTTGGAGCAAGCAGCACATAAGTAGGCATTCATGTCAATGAAATCTCGGGCTTTTATCAAGCCGCTGAAGAAGTCACGCGTTCTAAGCACTGAAAATGGTTGAGAAAAGATGTACCGAACATCGAAAGCGACATCAAGCCACCTCGGCCGAAAATGACCCCGCGGACAACGAAGACTCAACTCTTTCTGGGGTTTTCGAGCCCGTCAGCGGCAGAGGGGCCCTAATTTACCCTAGGGGCCCCACTGCAGTTGTTGTGGCCCCGCAAACCCCGCACGAATGTGTCTTGAGTTGAGATGTCGCTCAGAAACCTCAACAAGGACCCATGGCGCAACGGTAGCGCGTTCGACTCCAGCGAGACATCGAAAGGTTATCCGTTCAAATCGGGTTGGGTTCAATACCCTATGTCCTTATTTTTGCCCTATCTGTTGACATCGTGATGCTGTTGTGGTGTTTTGATGATGCCTCGTGCCCGGACATGATGCTCGTGTTGGGACGCCGTTTTTTTTTGTCGCCGACGTGTCCGGAGCGCACGGTTCGTGTCAAAGTGGGGGTCCGTGCCTTCCAAAGTCCAGCTGGGGGCACTTGCGACCGTCTGCGAGCTGGAATTATTCAAGGAATATCCGCCGCCCAACATCAGCAGCCGAATTCCTGCACACAACTGAAGAGCGATCCGACGCTACCAATGAACTCTACAACCATGTTTTTGAACATTCGATGCCCAATCTGAGTATTCTGTTTGTTCCTTTAACTCAAGCTACGATAAAGACCTCGGTTGTGATGAGGTGTGGTCCACGACGTGACCGACCGACATCGTCACCTATGTACGCGTGCGGGCGAGGAAATGCTTTCGCAGCTGGAACCACAGTGCCAACCACGATGACTGCAAGGCAGCCTTGCCCCTCGTAACCTGTCAGACTAGGTTTGATCTCAACGGAGGATAATTCCGATGTTGCCTACTGCACATCTACCGGGTAGCAATCGGCTGTCACGGGAAGTTTATCATCCTGCATCCGCTGCAAGGTTCGGGACGAGAAAGATCGTTGTAAGGCCAGATTCATAAGACGAACACTACTTTGAGTAAAATCCAACGACGCGCCTATTTTCCGTACGTTCCTAAACCTCGAGCCAGCTTGTCCATTCCCTGATAACTCCGAAGTACTAATCGAAAACACAGTATTCCAATGACACGGCCGAGAAACCCACTACGGATCCAAAGGATTCAGTTGCGCAAGATCTCGTCTGCAGTTGGAGCAGCTAGAAAGACATCGTCCATGTGACCATCACGCGTTCTTCTTGGTCCCCTTCACCGGCAACGCAGGATAGTCAGGAAGCTCCCACCCCTTGACGTCGTCCGACTGCAGTCTCTGGAACAGCTTGTCGATTTTGAGAGTGCAGACGAGCCAGAGAACAGTATTGAGGACCTTGATTCCGAACGCCGACTTCGGGTACAGCAAGTTCGGCCGCCACGCAATATCCTGCACGGTCTTCATGAATGGTCGCAGGGTTTTGTCATACGCCTCCAGAGCAGCAGGCACTCCTGCTTTCGCGGAATCGCCGGTGCAGTGCTTCGAAATCTCACCGGCCATGACATAGGCGCCAACAAATGCCGACGTCGTACCGCTGCCAGTCAATGGACTCGGCCCATAGCCTGCGTCGCCGAGGAGTACGACGCGACCCTTGTACCACTTGTCCATCCTGACTTGGCCGATTTGGAAGTTGTAAAAGTCATCAGACACACCCCCCGCCTCAAGCCCGTCGATAAATCGCGGTGTCTGCCAGCCAGCATCCTTGAAGAGTTCAATCCATAGCCGCTTCTGCATGTCAAGGTCGCGGTTCTTCTGCGACTCCTGAAGAAGCCTGTCGGTTTCCTTATCTTGTGGCACGAGACCCAAATACACCTGGCTGGTCTCGGGGTTGTCACTCCTCCTCATCATCATCCTCTGCTTCGGCACAACGCAGACCGTCGCGTAATTGTCGTCGGTCTTCTCCCTCGGCACCGTGAACAGCGCCGAGTGCAGCTTGAACGGGACAAATGGGTCTTTTTCTCCGTTGAGCATAAGTCTCCGGGTCTTCGAGCCTTGGCCGTCGGCTCCCACCACCAGATCATACTTGTCGGTGTGACCGTTGCTCAGTTTCACTGTGACCGAGTCGGCATCTTGTTCAAACGACGCAATAGAGTTGTCAAAGATGTACTTGACGCCCAGTTCATCTGTGCTCTTGAAGAGAAGGCGAACCAAGTCCCCGCGCATGATTTCGAATTCTGATGTGAAGCTCTGCTTGCCGGTACCGGACTTGTTCGCCTCAAAGGTGGCCACCGTTTTGCCGTTCTGGTCGACGAAGCGGAGGCCTGCCTCGTCGACGCCTTTTGCGCGAATCTCGGGCTCGATGCCCATCAGGCGGATCACGGACACGCCCTGACCGCGGATATCAATCTGCTGGCCCTGGGCGCGCAGAGACGGGTTTCTTTCGACGACGGTGACATCGTGACCCAGCTTCGCTAGCCAATACGCGAGCGCAGGGCCACCAATGCCGCCGCCGACGATGAGGACTTTGAGAGCAGATTGTGAAGACATGTGTGATGAGTAGTCGTGATGTAATGAGTTGGAGAAAGTTTGAAAATGAGTTTCGAGGCTCCTACCGAGAAGATAATTCCCGACCAGGCCAGCTGGGCAGCATCAATATTATACGAATTCAAAAAAAACAACAGACGACAGCCTGTCAACATGAACCGGTTCGCGTCGCGGTGCATGCGCGAAAGAATGGTGATGCCATCGGCGCCGTTAGAACAGAGACCCTCGGCGATGCTTGAGGTCCGTAGTCCGAGTCCAATTCGGGCTTTACGAGAGAGGATGTCGCACTTGGTGACGTCAACAAGCCGGATCCGAATGCCGCCTGGCCAGTAGCACGGCGGGGAATGCCAGCGCTTGGCTGGTAGCCGCATTGACCGCCCTGAGTCAAAGACCGTAGGGTGGCCGGCGTCAGTTTGGGGAAAAGCAATTCGTCGATGAAACACTTCGGAGGGTGATGCCTACGGCTCGGCCTTGAAAAGACCGTCGGGCTTCGGGCGGCGGCCGGATGGGTTACTCAGTCTCTCGTGGCCACTTGGTGACTGTGGCACGTGTCGGTGACTGCATTTTTGCCTGATTTCTACTGTCTTGACTGGCATCTGGGACTGGGTGAATCTTAGAAACAGAGGGATGCATTATTATTGATGTATTAGGTATACCTGACTAGCCAGACAAAAGCTTCAGTCAGAAACACTTGCGCCAAGCCCCGGGAAAATAGTGACCAGATTGGTGATGTGCGTGGGACGTCAGTTGCAGCATAATCTATGAAAATTGAGTTTCGTATTTGCCATTTTGAATGTGGTTTGTTTTGGCGTTTGTAATGTTGGTTTGGATAGAACAGAATTCATCGGTGTAATACTCCAAGAGTCTGAATAGCTTCACTCAACTGTAGAAAGATTTAAATAGTAAGATATCGTCAGATGCCGTAAGAAGAATCTTCTAGAACAGCTTTCTTTGTCATTTTAGGCTCTCAAACCCCTGGATGGTAACCAGATAGGCTTCTACCGAAGCCTGGCCGGTGTTTGTATCATTCCAACCAGCATCATCTTCGTCTTCTCCGGTGTTGTCGCCGTCGACAATCTCGTCTTCATCGCGATCGTCATCGGGTTCAGGAAAGTTATCGTCGAGTTGATCATCTCGTAAATCTCTGACGTCTTCTGGCTGCTTTGCTTCGTCGGAGTTGAACGCCTGGACGAGCCGTTTATTGAAATCCGTCGCGTGGATCAGAATCTCGGTAGTTCGAATGTTGCGCTCCTTCTGGGTCTGGTTGCGTCGGTGAAGATTGATCATCTCACGGCGTAAAGCAAGGAAAGCTTGAGGACGCGGTCCCGGTTCCTCTTCTCGGCCCTGGACAGCGTGGAGTACTCTCTGTCTTGGCGAATGTACTGATGGGTCAGCGCTTTCAATTTCGGGACCGTAGAGCTGAATGATTTGGCTGCAGGCAGCCGATCTAGGGTGCAGCCTGCGCTTGCCTCGAGCTTCATGAACTGGTCGATTTTTCTTGCCCCAATAGTTTCACCCAGGGTGACGGCAGAGAGGTCGATATTCTGAAGTCTATCGATGTAAAACCTCTCCAACGTAAAGCTATCCGGATCGTGACACATCAGCGCGCGCGCATCAGTATTGCCCAGAATTGCTCCGTAGGTATCAGCTTATTGCCGTCTGATGCTATAGAATGTCACAAAGCCAGGCCATCCCATTGCCTCGGCGCGTCGTTGGAGCCACTTTGTCAGTGAGGGAGCTGGGAGCGGACTGTTTTCGGCCATGAGACCAGCAATCTTGGGCTTGGCGGGCAATCAAAATTGGCTGCTCGAGGAATTCGGGCTTGACAGTGATTACATGCAGATCGCTGCCAAAGAGCTCTTTAATCGATGAAATGTTCTCAAAAACACCGCGGCGGATTCCGATAACTAGTAGCCGATGAGGAGCTGGCAATGACAAGTACGACTGCTGCTGGGGAGAGGCGACCCGGAATATCATGGGCTCAGAGCGCATATCATTTCTGTTATCTGGCTGGAGACAAAATTGACTGTCGGGGGCTTCATCGTCCTCTCCGTGTACTTTTGATGAATCCAACATAACACTGCCTGACAGTACTGGCAAAGGGTTGTGTAGGAGATCATCTTGTGCGCATGAGAAAGCGGAACCTTGAGCTGAACGACGTTGAATAGGTAAGGACGCAAGAGGCGCCAAAGAGCGTCCCAAAAATTGGGTTCATCCCCAGCAGAAGGTATGTTTGTTGTTGTTTCTCTTCGTCTCCATCGTGTTCACCCATCCCCGCTGCTGCTGTTGCCGTCGTTACTGTCTCCGCTGTCGGGTGTGCTGCCGGATATGCCATCCATCATCTCTGACGTTCTTCTTTCTCATCCCTCCTCGTTCGTCTTTGTTTTGGTCGTCACTGCCCTCGTCTGTCACCACTATTCATTTTCCTTGCTTGTCTTCCCTACTCGTTGCCGTCTCTGCCGCCGCCGTGTCTGTGGCTCTGGCCCGTCGTTGGCTCCCGTTTCCGCTCTTCTCTTCTGTCATCCCGGCCGCCTTTCTTCGTTGATGCTGACCCGTCTAGTATGCCAAGGAGACCGGCATGAATACACTTTAGTTGACTCGCTGCAATTGGACTTGATTTGGCTTTTAGGTAGACCTTTGTCCGTAGATTGGACCGAAGACAGACACGCACAATATAATTTGGAGAGTGACAAAAGCAATACATGCCAGAAATACTACAACGTTGCGGCAATTCTCAAATCAATTGTCTGTGGTTGGAGGTGGGCGTCATTGGTTGGTGTCGTTCAATGGGGCCACACACCTGGTTGTGACCGTGCGAATACAA